AATTATTTTAATACCCTGGAGATTGCTATGCAGAAGTTATTAATTATTTAAATACCCTGGAGATTGCTATGCAGAAGTTATTAATTATTTAAATACCCTGGAGATTGCTATGTAGAAGTTAATAATTATTTAAATACCCTAGAGATTGCTATGTAGAAGTTAATAATTATTTAAATACCCTGGAGATTGCTATGTAGAAGTTAATAATTATTTAAATACCCTAGAGATTGCTATGTAGAAGTTAATAATTATTTAAATACCCTGGAGATTGTTATGCAGAAGTTAATAATTATTTAAATACCCTAGAGATTGCTATGTTGAAGTTAATAATTATTTAAATACCCTGGAGATTGCTATGTAGAAGGGTTTGCAGTTAACATTTGATTTACTTGTAGGTTCTCTTTCAGATAAAAATCAACTCACTTATTCTGTCATCTTACATGCAAATATTTTGACCAACACCCTTTGTTATGTTTTTACCGAGTTTGATTACTTGTACACAGGATCTTGTCATATTAATATTCCTCCAAATGCTCATTCCCTTGGCATCGAGGATTGTGGCAATATTCAAAAAGTTTCTCTTTGTCGTTATTTATCACGTAGGTAACTCTTCTTTAAAAGATGTCTCTTTTTCCTTATCACTTAGGTACTTTTTCTTTAAAACGTGGGTCTTTCACCTTATTTATCACGTAGGTACCTCTTCTTTAAAACGTGGCTCTTTCTCTTTATTTATCACGTAGGTACCTTTTCTTTAAAACGTGGCTCTTTCTCCTTATTTATCACGTAGGTAACTCTTCTTTAAAAGATGTCTCTTTCTCCTTACTTATCACGTAGGTACCTCTTATGGACTTACATTTAACTTAGAAAAATTCTAGCAGTTGGTAACATTTTTATAAGTTCAATTCGAAGTAACAGAATATAATTGTAACCACTAACAGAAATATATATGTATTTTTCTGTTATTCACCAATAAAGCATATAGAAAGATATCCTAAGGCGTCAAAGTGTTATTATGGAATTATTGTAGAAGAATGTGTGAATTTTCTGCATATAAAATTACCACTGAACACGAGATTGATATCAAACTGAAAGTATTGAATAATCATGCAAAAATATAATATTTAAAGGAGTTGAAAGCTTTTTCTACAACTAACTGAAACTTCAAAAAGAAACCTGTAAATGCATAATAAAACATTATATATTCATTGTATCTGTTTGAGAGATAAAAATGAATACAAATAATCAGTTTCTTACTCGATAGTAGTTATCCCATCACTTGCAAGACACGCCGTTAGAGGGCGCCACACACGTGACGGACTCTGGGAGGGGGTAATGCCATCAAAATCGATGATGTCATAGCTCCAAAGTTTACCAAGTTGCTAGGGAAGCGGCCATTACATCATAGTTCCATAAAGTCCCCCACTTGATCAGAAGTTAATGATAATTCTTGAGGATGAACTTTTTAATCTTCTTCGGCAAGTTTAAAATTGATTTATACATCGCTGATCGTCCTCAGAAGGATTCCACAGAAATAACAACAAACATTACTTTAAAAGGTAACCTTCTTTTTATATTTATAAAGGCCCATAGGAACATATATTCAAACATTTCAATAAAATATTTCAGATTTCAAGATCAGGGCATATAAAGATAGTTGTATTTTGTCATTGAAACATTTGTTTATTTAATTTCAAAGCAGAATTGCCTTTAATACGGAAGTATTTATTCTTAATTAATAAAGCAATTGTAACACATAATTTTTCTTCCATTTTTACTGGTTTTTGTTGAAACAATTATTCTTAGAATAATTACAAATAAAACTAAGAGCCAAGAAACACCATTTTATGCTTTTCTTCTCAGATATTTTTATTTTTTTACGCGCAAAGCTACACAGTATGTTATCTGCGCGGACAACTTTTTATTTTAATAGTTATATATTTATTTTAATGTGTATTAAAAAAATGCTAAGAAAAAACAAATTTTAATGCGGTTATTACATTATCTGCCGACAATTAAACACTGGCTAGCCGCTATTCAGAGAGCATGCGCAATGACATACCAAGAACCATGTTCATTAGTTAGTGTTAGATGAAGATTCTCATTTATCCAAGTGTTATGAAATTTCCTTTTAAAATAAATTTATTTAAATAAGAAAAGTGAGTCGATTTAAAGAATAATATTAAGTAAAACGTAAATAACGGTACAGGTGGTACGCGAATAATTGAAGTTTGGGAAGTACTGGAGTAGCCTGCGAGTTTAAAATTTGGGTTTGTTTCTTTTTGAGTTTCGCGAAAAGCTACACGAGGGTTATCTGCACAATCTATCTGTAATTTACAGTAATCTCGATACCTTTTAATTGTACTTTTGAGCAAATTGTAACCTACCAATACTACTGAGGCTAATCGCACTTTTTAAAAACGATATCCTTTGGAACTATTTCCTCCATTATTTGTCGTTCCCAGTTTGACCACCATGACACCTTAATTTCCATCCTGATTTACAAGCTTTGGAGAATTGTGGAGCTACTCTTAGACAACTTTATACAGACAGATCCTCCAATGGAAATGGACGCCAGCTTCCAAGACTTGTTTAGATATGTCGAGCCCACTTGAGGACTCTACAGGTTAGCCCCCCAGTAGCACAGCGGTATGTCTGCGGACTTACAACGCTAGAAACCGGGTTTCGATACCCGTAGTGGGCAGAGCACAGATAGCCCATTGTGTAGCTTTGCGCATAAATTCAAACAAACAAACCATTTTTTTGGCCATCTTTCTTGCGAAAACAGACGATTCCGAGGGATGGTTGAAAGTTTCCAAACCTTTATCAATCTCAACTCCTCATTTAATATCTGGTTAAAGGTACCAAGAGATATGGTGGGTTCTTTCGTGGACATAACCTTTTTTTTCCATACAATGATGTATAAGGATGCGAGTATAACATTTTGGTTCTGTTGTATTATGTTATCACACCTGCAAACTTCTTTATACAAAGTTTAAAATAATTCTAGTTGTATTACCTTAGAGTTTAGACGATTAGAAGCCAGTGAAAAAATCGACGAACGATTGGATTGAGGTTACAAACTAAACTTTGCGTTACCGCTATACGTCATTCGTTAAATATATCAACAATATTATTTTCCCCGGCTACGTTAATAGCGTTGCTATCTTCTGACTTAGGCAAATGAAAGACGTTATCATTTGACGAATTATCTATCAACTCATTCAAAATAGTTTTTATTTTAGGTTATCGTAGCTGTTCGAGTTCTCACGCGCTGATGAAACTCATTTTTAATAACTAAATTTAAATGTACTTCGTCAAAGATGTTGAAAAAAATAATTAACGAAACTATTTTAAGAATACTATACAACCTTTGATCAATTTATGAAAAGAAAAAAATGATGACAAGAATGGATTTAATTTTTTATTTCAGGCAAAAGCAGATTTACAGCATATAATGCTATACAAAGCTTTACAATGCGAACACTTATTTTCTAATTCAACAAATATTTTAGAAATTCGAGGTAGTGCAAACAAACTATAAAACGTTTTCGAAATTAAATTCACATTAAAGAATGGCTGTCAATACTGGATATTCACGATAATATTTGTATAATTTACGTATTAATAATAAAGGAATACGGTTAATGTATCACTTGAAAAAAACCATCCTCGTAGGACGTGTTACAATAAGCCTAATGTCAAAAGATATCCAAGTAAATCATTCAATATTGTATGTGACTTCACGTTGAAAAGCAAATATAGCCAACTGCTGTTTAAAAATTTCCACGAACCGTTCAACATAAATATTGTTTGACTTAGGTTAGTTTCAACTGACCTAAATATGTATGCGTTAAGCCTACGTACTATACCACATGTACAAGTCCAACATTACAAATATTTCACTAAATCATGCCAGAATATACATACATTTTGTTGTAAGAAGTGGGGCCTAACAATGCAACTGAGTAACACAGTAAACATCGTTCTTCAACCTTTGATGCACCTAATTCTGTAGCTTTTAATCTGAAGCTTTAACATTTGCTCCCACAACAGACCTCTGAAGACGAGCACGTGAAAAACAACGGACACGCGATCACTACTTATATACATTTAAAACGTAAATTCCAAGACGTTCCTGACTTGTGATGTATTTGGTAAACTTGCGGGTGACTGTTTACATAATCATTTTCTAAGAACTGACGAAAGAACCAATTTATGGTGCTTTAATAGAGCTTTTACGTAGTGGAAAACTTTGTTATTCCTACTTCCATAGCGTGAATACCGTTGGTTGTCTGAGGTTTTACAAAATGATTTGGGTCTTGACATAGCTCGGGTAAATAACATTTGATTCTTCAGTTTCTTTACTTTTGTACTCATAACTAAACTGACAAGAACGTTAATTTTAAGAACAGCTACTTGTGTAATTTTGATGTAGTTTTAAAAGTGTCACTAACAATTGTGTTAGTGGAGGAAGTCTGGTCTTGGACGGCTTTCATGTTGTTCTTTTTTTCTACTAATTATATTGATTAATTTTGATTTCAATACCGTTGGCCTAACTTTCTTTGTTACAAACTATTGCTTATAAACCTTAATTTTGGTTTAGTTAAAACCAGCAACGTATTCACACGGAGTCTAAAAATTCATAATGCATAACAAGGGTATTAAGAACTTGACCAGTTGACATGTTATTAGAGCCGGATGAAGACCATAGTGGGCCCATTGAGCCCTTATTTATTTTTTAATTGATCCAGCAAGACAACTAGTGCTTTTAAAATACTACAGTTTCCAACTTAAACAATTATCTGAAGTGGCCGTTACAGTGAGCCCATGAACTCATAAGCACCTGCCTACTCTGGTACTTAGTAATTTCAAACCTGTCTGGATATAAATAACCCAGGCATTATGAACTTCACAAGTGGAGAGTCTGGTACATATCAAAACAATGTTAAGAACTGAGATGGCATAGGGATCTCTGAAATTATGCTCGACAGAAAATATAGCAATGTACGCCATTAACTGGGATAATCTATTACTTTGTCTTCAAAGAGGGTTTCAATAATCTAAAAACAGGAATATCTTTTCACAAGTCTAGTTAAAAATTTGAGAAGAGCTTAAAGACAATGGTATTGATTCAGTATAAGGTGGATAAGTTTAAAATTCTATTATAAAACTGTTTTTTTTTCTCTCTCTCTTGAATATGAAGATATTTTGTCCCACTTTTTTAATCAGTGGTCCCGATGGTCTAATGGAGTTTGTGAGATTGGATGATGCAACCATCAACAAAGTTTGTGGAAGCAAACATCTCTAGAACAATAGAAAATTTGTTCTACACAGTACAAGAGATTAAACTGCCAGCTATAACAAGAGAACAAAAACTTTCTATGTTTAAATACACCAAACTATTAAAAAAACATTTGGTAAAAGTTCACATCTAAATATTATTTTTATATGTGCCTGAAAAATGGAAGTTATTTGAAACACTAGTATTTTTTCATTCATCCAGTTCTGAATAACTTTAGAATCTCAAATTCCTCAGACACAAATAGCTTTCCAAGTCCTATCCTTACACAAAGATACCTGTTTTTTTTTTCTATAAGATTATAAAGTATGCCAGAACATAATTTATAATGCATCAAAAGTCGAATCTGAAGAATCAATGAGCTTCTCACAAGTATGTTAAGCAAACATCACTTGGAGTGGAAAAATGTATTTAGTGTTTCAATGCAATATCCACCTATTTCCCTCACGATTCTTCTGTTGATTCCATGGAATAAGAAATTGAACCAAAATTTCCCTAGTAAGTGACTTATAAACTTTACGAGGCAACACTACAAGCACAACAAATAAGCCATCTTTGGTACAACAGTGAATGTATACCTACACCCACAGACATAAAACAACATATATAATTTCACAAAAACTGTACAAGTAATTAAACAGTAACAAAAATAAAAACTTCGATAAAGCGTGATGGAAGATAAAAATAAAAATGGTGCTATAAGTAACAGCAACATTGCTAGCATATGAATACATAGCATAGTTTTAAGTTGATGGTGAACAAATCCTTCAGGTTACAGAGATTTTTATGTGTACATTCTTCCTGTACAAAAAACAACCAGAACTATACTTGGGTTACTGAGGGATGATCTAGTCGAGTACAGAAGCCAGTGTCAGTCATTTGTACATCAACTGAAGCTGTGTCAACAGTTTCACTAAAGGATGAACAAGCCAATTACAGAATAATCAGTTACATGTCAACTGAAGCTGTGTCAACAGTTTCACTAAGGGATGAACAAGCCAATTACAGAATAGTCAGTTACATGTCAACTGAAGCTGTGTCAACAGCCTATTAGCATTCTTAATCATCCCAAAACTATTACATGTTAGAAAATGAGAAATGCAAGTAATGTGGAATGGACGGGAACACGGGTACACCCGAAAATTCACACCGTCATCTGTACATAATGGCCTTATGGGTGTTGAAAACTCTGCATGACAACTAGAGACAGGCCAAACTAATGCCTGTAAGAGAATTATGCTACAAGCAGACTAATTTTCTTACATATTTTGTCAATATCAGTGGATAGTCAAATTTAGTGAATGACTTCACCAAATAGTTTATATCTACAATACTGTAACACTACCATGTAATTTTAACTCTAAAATACTGTGACCTTACCATGTTGTTTTAACACTACAGTACTGTGACCCCTATCATGTGATTTTAGCTCTAAAATAATGTAACCTTACATGTAGTTTTAAATCTTAAAATACTGTGACCCTATCATGTACTTGTATGTCTCAGTAACGTAACCTTACCATGTATTTTTAACTCCAAAATACTATGGTCCTATTCATTTAAGGATTCACTACATTTTCTTATAGTTGAAACACAAAAAGTTGACTACAGTCAGAGTTTTTAATGAGTTCTAACATATTTGTTTTGTTTCATGCCTTGAAAGAGTTCTTAAACAAGATAATAAATATTGTAAAAATTAATTTTACAACATGATTTACATGAAACCAAAAATGAGAGAGAAAACACAAAATTACAACAATACAAGCTTGCATGAAATATCTTAGCTAGGAATGCAGGGATTGATAACAATGCGAATAAACCGCAGTCTTCTTGAAAGATGAAGTTTTACAAGTGGAATTCAAACCAGCACAAATAGCTATATACATTTGGTAATAATGATATTTCCGAAACAAGAAGTGCCACTTTCTGTGCAAATATAAAGGATATTCTACAGCACCAGAACCAAATTATAATATTTATATTGACTGACAAACAAAACTGAAAACTATCTTGTCTAGGCCCGTAGCCGCTTTACCATCGATAAACTACCGAATAGTTTTACAAATCTAAAGGTTTTGTAACCAGCAGTCTTATTTTGATAACTGTTTCAAGTGTCTACTACTAATTACCACATGAAGTGAACTCTTAGTAGGATCTTAGTTACCACAATATATACATAAACTTCGTTGCTCAGCAAATGTTATGAGCTGCTCATAATCTTTTTTTTTTAAGCACATTAAAAAGTGTGAAATTTTTCAAAGTATATTTTCAATACACTTTAGTTATCTATCAGGCAACAATCACATTATTTCAATAAGACTGTGGAATTGTATACTTGAAAGTAACATATCCGTAATTCACAACTTTCTGTGAAAAAAGTTACAGACTGTCAAATCATGTATACTGCTCTGTGCATAGATGGCACTAGACTGTATATCTTCCAATGCATTACATACTTGTTTAACCATCTTAATTGGTATTTTGTATCAATTGTGAATTTTGTTTTATTACTAGAAGTTTTACTTCTTAGGTTTGAGATCTCTGTAACTAACCTGTTTCTTAAATAATGATACTACATAATAATCAGGTGAATGGAAAGACTTCAACAGTCATGCATTGTATGCACAAAGATGTATAATTCAAAATCTCGTGGACATTTTCTACATAATTACAAAGATTAATCAGATGATAAATGCTAAGCATAACAGAATGTACTTAGCACAGACAGAAGCGAATAGCAGGGGTGATTTATCAGTCCTAATCAACTTCAAAGGCAGCACACACATAAGTTCTCTTGTCTGAGTTTAAAGGTAAATGTCCTGTTCTTCTGAACTCCAGTTTTGTTACAGATATCCATTCCTTGAACACGAAAATGCCCTTAGTACAGTAAGAAGTCTTCTTATCAGAACATTTTATATTGTTATTCACAAGCCCTGATGCTCTGACAAAAAGACTCAGTTTCTGGTGTACCAGCATATCTTTTGATCAGACATGATAAATCACAAAGACACAATTATGTTGTCTTAGATAAAGCAGAAGCCAACAAATGGAATGTTTCACTGTACATATGAAAAAATTGGCTTTACAGATAAATTTTCTTCACTTTCTGTGCTGGTTTATTGTCTGCAGAGCTGTTAGCATTCTTTCCATTCCCGTTTTTTGGTGGAACATTAAGGACCAAGTTGATGGGTTTATTGTTGGTTCCAGGAGAAAGGAAACCCTCTCCATGATTCAGATGAGTGGGTTCCTGACATAAGGGTCCACCTCTGTGTCGCTGATCCAGGTAGTGACCATCATCATAGGGGGAGTCCACTTCTTCATTTCTGCATCTTCGACTGAAGATGTAGCCACTAATGAAGCCAACAACCAGTGAAGTGACAATACTAGTTGTTACTGCAATAGCCAATGTCTCAGCACTATACATATCCATATAACCAGTTGATGCTCCAGCGAGTGCTCCTGAAAAACATTTTGATAATATTAATAACATATCTCATAAATTTGGAAATTTAATGGTTGGGTGTTTAAATACTATAGTATTTTCATCCACCCCTAAACAAAATAATTACTGATTTCATTCTACCCGAAAAAATTACCAGTTTTACTTTCCTCTAACAAAAACTTATTTATTTCTTTATCAGACAGTTTCTTGACTAAATTATTCAATGCTGCTGTACCTAAAAAGACTTGTATGTCTACACCTAAAGCATTTTTTCTTACACTTATGCTAATGGTGGATTGCTTTTCAATGTTTGTTTGGTAGTTTAAACAACTTGATTTTAACGATGGTAGCTGCAAGGAAAGAAACTTGTATATTTATGTGCAAACACTGGTCAAAAGATTAGAAACCTTTCCTTAATATTGTGGTGGGTCACTATATACTCCAATGAAAGTTCAATCACACTGCAGCATGGATTCCAAAGGATATTGGAAAGCAGACAAGTCCATTTTATTCCATTCCTCCAACATTCCAGCCTCCAATTCTTTAAGGGTTGATAGTACGAGCTATACTTTCGTACAATGTGTTCCAACACATCCCAGATTCTCAATGGGATTGAGATATGGAGAATATTGTGATCAAGGGGGGAAAACACACACATCTAGCAGAATGCATGGGAGAATCATCATCCTAGAAGTAGCCATCACCACTGGGGTAAAAATGGAGCACATGGTCTATTATGATGCTTAGATATTCCTGGGATATTATACTTGTTCCCACCAGCAGTATCAGAAGGCCCAGTTCATGTCAGTTAAACATTTTCCATGTGATTATTCAACTGTTACTGGCATGAACAGTAAACAGGAGGATTTCTAACTTTTCAGTCAGCATGTGTCTATAAAGCAGGGATATCCATTTGCCTGGTGTTGACTTTAGAAGAAGTTTAAATGAATTAGCAATTAAATGAACAATTCAAATTTTGCAACCATTTTAACTTTTGCTACATGAAGCTGACACCAAATAAGAATGACATTTAATAGCATTACTGTACAGATCGCTTCGCTGTTAGCCTTTATTCAGTAGACTTGCAAGGCAAATGGTGAACGTGTGTACACTACCCTGTCATTTCCATGAAGCCAAATAAATAAATGTCACACATTTGATAGTGAGTAATAATGACTGTTTTTCTTACTTTACAACCATTGATAGTGAAAACAAGTCATTATTAACAATACATTGCTATTTAATCATGTAATGTGAGTGTATACACACACACACACTTTTTTTTTTCCTATTTCAATGATATTTTATATGCTGCCTTATTGAAATACATCTGTGAAGAAAAAGATACCACAATCTCTATGTAAAAAAATAGTAGAGTAATTAGAGAATTTTTTTTATTTAATCTGCACTCGTTAAATAATAGCTCTTTATATGCTACAGTAGTTAATAGTTCATAATATTAAAACCACAAAATTACACAAGCATTCTGTTAAGCTTTCTTAAGAGGGAATCCTCAATAACCCCAGCTGTAAATAATATCAAAATCGGTCAAGAGATGAAGCTATGATATAAAAGTTTGTATTTGAAAAAAAACTCGGAGCCATTCTATGAACTGCTATTCGTGGTTAAAAATACAGGCATTAAGTGAAAGATCTGAGCCACAACAGTCTCAAGCACAACTCTTATGAAGCTATATTCAACACTGCAAAACTGTGTGAAACTGTACCACAGAATCACTGAAGCTGTGTGAATCTATATGCTAACATCCCTAAAATTATGTGAAGCTATATGTCAACACCACAGAAACTGTGTGAAGCTATATGTCAACACCACAGAAACTGTGTAAAGCTATGTGACAATACCACAGAAACTGTGTAAAGCCATATGCCAACACCACAGAAACTGTGTAAAGCCATATGTCAACACCACAGAAACTGTGTGAAGCTATATGTCAACACCACAGAAACTGTGTAAAGCTATGTGACAATACCACAGAAACTGTGTAAAGCCATATGTCAACACCACAGAAACTGTGTGAAGCTATATGTCAACACCACAAAAACTGTGTGAAGCCATGTGACAATACCACAGAAACTGTGTAAAGCCATATGCCAACACCACAGAAACTGTGTAAAGCCATATGCCAACACCACAGAAACTGTGTAAAGCCATATGCCAACACCACAAAAACTGTGTAAAGCCATATGTCAACACCACAGAAACTGTGTAAAGCCATATGTCAACACCACAGAAACTGCGTAAAGCTATATGTCAACACCACAGAAACTGTGTAAAGCCACATGCCAGCATAAACTGACACTGGGTGGAACTGTATGCTTGCTTCACTGAAACTTGGTGTAGCTAAATTTGTTTCATTAATGAAGCTTTGTGGAATATGTATGTAGCAAACTTCTTAAACTTTTTGAAACTGATGTTCTTCTTGGTATTATCATAAAAAGAACTATATAGTATGGCACCATGAAACCATAATATATACTTTCAAGCACCAGTCTCATGTCTTGGTAGGATTACATGATCCTGCATAAAGTGAAGAAGTACTAAACACAAGAGTTATAGAAACCAAAACAATCGCCATCTAGAAAAAAAAGCAGAACTAAGAGATTATCATACATACATACATACATATGTATGTATATATTTTTACATATGTTAATACACCGTGAAACTACAAAGGCCGAAGTACCAAAGTAAACGTAATACTGCATACTTGCAGAAATATGTGGTCTACAACAACTATACTGTAAGATTCTGAAGGTTTTGGCACTAGAAGTTTGTATTTCTATGCAGACTATTTTAACCAAAAATTTGTAATCTTCATAGGATAGATCACTGGAACCATGTAGATGTTTACAGTACACTGCACTGAAATGACATGGACATTTACAGAGTACTGTCAAAACCATTTGGTTGTTTACAGGATACTGTAGGAAGTCATGTGGAAACTTATGGAGTACTGCACTGAAACAAAGTGAAAATTTATGGAGTACTGCACTGAAACAAAGTAAAAATTTATGGAGTACTGCACTGAAACAAAGTGGAAATTTACAGAATACTGTCTGAAACCATGTGGACATTTACAGAATACTGTCTGAAACCATGTGGACATTTACAGAATACTGTCTGAAACCATGTGGACATTTACAGAATACTGTCTGAAACCATGTGGACATTTACAGAATACTGTCTGAAACCATGTGGACATTTACAGAATATTGTCTGAAACTATGTGGAAATTTACAGGATACTGTAGGAAGTCATGTGGAAATTTATGGAGTACTGCACTGAAACAAAGTGGAAATTTACAGAATACTGTTAGAAACCATGTGGACATTTACAGAATACTGTCTGAAACCATGTGGAAATTTACAGGATACTGTTTGAAACCATGTAAAAGTTTAGAGGATATTACATTAAAACAATGTGGAAGTTTACATGATACAACACTGAAACATTACAAAGCATAACACCAAAACCATATGAAAGTTTATGATACTGTACTTTGTACGGAAATATACAAGGGGTTAAATTTTACTGCATACAGCTCTGAAAATAGTGAGGTTTTAAAAGGTACAACACTTGAAGTTTCTTTTAAAGCATTATAACATTACTAAAGTTTAGAGGATAGGCACTGAGACAATGTGAGGGTTCAAGAGTACAACACTATGATGATGTGGATTCAAGTGAGGGTTTAAAATGTACAACAGAAAAAAAATGTGGAAGGTTACAAGGTAACAAAATTGAAACTAGTGATAATTTTAATACAAAATACGGCACTTAAAAAAACATGGCTAAAAAAAACACTGTTGTAAAATGAAATCTAAAACAAAAAAGTGGGAAAAAACTTATACCACAAAAAATGGCTAATGTTAAGTAGATGGTTGAACATTCGCAACATTTTGAGGCTGGGACTTCCTTCCTCTGGTGAGTTTAAGTTTTAAACTGTTCCATTAAAGTTTAAATTCACCAGATGAAGGGCATTTCAGCCCAAAACATTGTGAACACTAAAACATCCATTTAACATTAGCCATTTTTCGTGGTACAAGTTTTTTCCCACTTTGTTTTCTTAAATAAATGTAACTTTACAAAGTACAGCATTACAACCTTGGATACGGCACAAAAAATGTGTTACTTAATGAGGCACAGTAGTGAAACCTTGAGGAAATAAACCAGCTGAAGATTTTAAAATGTGCAAATCACACTACTGAAAGATAACTAAACAACTATGTAACATTGGTTTGGGAGAATATGAAGTTTTTACTTTCTTTAGTATGTTATTATAACTCAATGTTAAACTAATTTCAAAACAATAATCCTGATTGTCTTAATATTTAAAATCATAATGTACTTTTACCATTAAAATGTTTAAAGAAAACTGAAAAATAAAACGAATTTCTACATGAAGCTAAAAATTACTACCTTCTCAAGCACATAAAAACATGTAATTGCAACATTTATATAAATTACCACTTCTTTAGTAATGTGAAAGATATGTTATTACTTGTGTAATGCATCACAGAAACATACCAATCCAGTAATAACCTTTGACCTCTGCTGCTTCTTCGTTGGGTTAGCATATACAGTGCCAAAAAGATCAGCAGAGTTTGAGGTAAAGAAAGAGTATCTAACACAGTCATCACATTGAAGTACAGATCAGTTAAGTAACCCAGTCAACATATCAAAGGGTCTTATTAATAGCTGATATGTCAAAAATAGTTAAATCACCTGGGTAAAGTTTAAAATATCACCAAATTACACTCAAGATATTTAGAATAAAAAAAAGTAGGTAAATCAAATTTAAAGAAACCAAATAGCCCAAGCACTTTCGTAAAAAAGAAGTTCTCCCTTCCATAAAATGCTCGAATTATCAGGTTTCTTGAACTGTGATTTACCCGATTACACCATTAATAATGATAAGCTCCACTCCTCAAATGGTGGCCACACCAGCTAAGTTTACATTCACTGTGAAAAGTGATATTTTATTGAAATAAAATAAGAA